CTTTCAGACTGGTTTAAAAATATTCAAATCAAATCCCCATTAATCTGTAATATTAACATTCCTATCATAAATATGAAATGTTTTTAAGCTCATTACGCCAACATCAGATCTTTAAAAATAAAAGCTACACACGTTGAATTCAATGAGGTGTTTATTACAGTTCCTTTGGACACAGCAACAAGAAACCTTTAAAATCTGAACGGGAGAGGACTTCAGACGTAATACATGCAACTAAAGCACGCCTTCATGTTACAATACGATGGCCACATTCCTTCATTTTGAAGAGCCTGTGAGTTTTACACATCCGGTATACACTTTAAGCATCAGCAACGTACTGATTCCCTCAAGAAATATAATCCCGATTCCTCATCCATCAACACTTTCCTGTTCCATCTGCAGCACATGCTGTTTAATGTTCTGGCTCTGTGGTGGTGCAGGCAGGAAGACGTTCAGGTCTTTAGGTAACCAGCTGACTGATGATGCTTTTAAACCACACCACACTTGTTGTCTGACAGATAAAAGATGAGCTACTTTACCACCTGAACACTGAGAGCAGCAGATATGTGAATGAACTGATGGGACTTAAGCTCAACATATATAATAATTTATGCAACACAATATTATTATAAATACACAAAGCTCTTTCCAGTAAAATGTATCAATAAAAAACCTTCTAAAATTGAGCAACACTGCTGAAGACCTTGTTACAAATCTATACCTCAGTAAACCGTAGATGCATGAAGCGTAAAACACTATTTTTTTTGCTGCAGACCAATTTAGTTATAAGGTTAGGTCAGTCCTGTCCCGGTACTTTTAGACCAATCTTATAACTTAAAAACATTAAACCAACAATAAAAAAGCAGCATAAACCAGAGGGACAAAGGAAAAGCCTTCATGGCCAGGAGGCTGCTAAGCTGGAACAGACAGCGCAGCTTCAGTTTGGGAGGAACTGATGAAATATGGGATCCATGAGAAGTTCTTCAGCATGGTCTCCACGGTAACACCAGTGTCCTGCATTTCTATCCTGTAGAAGGACACAACAAACATGATAAGAAAAGGAAATATCAGATTTCTTCTAAATATGCCCCCCCTCACTGTTATGTTACTCTTTACATTTGTGTGAACATTTTTTCTATAATATTTTTGCTGCTGTAAACACCAGGATTTTCCCATTGTGGGACAATAAAGGGATCTTCTATTCTATTCTAAAAACATCACAGAGCTGCTCACCAGTCTCTAGAAGATATCACATAGTAGACAGGGGGCGCCGTGGAGTCACTGGAAGGGAACAGTGGCTGACCCAGGGTGTAAGCTCCAGCGTGGGCAAAGAGAAGCCAGTCGCCTACGTTGAGCTCAGGTAGCAGGCAGTGGTCCACCACCTGGTCCAGATCGTCGCCAGAGGGGCCCCACAAGCTGCTGCTGAACAATGGACAGTCCACAGAGGGATTCTGTGGAAAACAAAGTGACATTATCATCAGCAACTGTCCCTGTAGTAAAGATTTAATCTTTGTCTCTAAAGCCGGGCTTACACCACGCAATTTTTTGCCATTTTTCAGGGGCGACTTTCCAGTCGTGCGAGACTTTTTCGATCGGGCCGACTTTCAGCCTGGTCCTGCGTGGTGTACAGTGTACACATCGCCTCTCATTACTCCCTGTACACTGTAAAGGGAGTAATGAGGGGCGATCAGCCTCTCACGACCACCTCACAATCAGAAATAGTGAGGTAGGGAGAAAATCAAACATGTTTGATTTACAGTCGACCGTTGTGGGCAAATCGCTCAGTGCGCAAACAAGGATTAATATTTTTCTTCTTCCTCTCAGATGTAAACACAGAAGCATGGTGGGGGTGCAATGAGTGAAATGTGGTTCTTTCTGTAAAATTGACAGACCGTAGTAGCCATGTTTGCTCATGTCTTTTTTCCAAATACGTCGTCGCCTTTTCTTCTTAGGGCTTTCAGAGACGAACAGCTCAAAGTGTTTGTCAGCTGGTCACCCAAACCTGGTTATATTAAAAGTTAGAAACATGTGAAAACTTATCTCTGGCATATAGAAAGAGTAAAGGTCCATGACCCGAGGCTGCATCAGTCTGCTTGATCAGCTGATTATGAGGATCATTACCAGACAACCGACAGAGCTGGAAAATCACAGGAATGTGCATTAAAGATTTTAAACCACTTCTTAAAATTCATCTATGCGTCAACGTTTGACATTATAAGAGACTCTTATTTTAGTCTGAGATTATTAAAGTTATAACTTATTATTACAGACTTGGACTTCATGTATTTTTTTTTTTATTTTATTTAATTGTTTGTCTTTTTTCTTTCTAAAATCCTTTTTATTGTTGTTCTCTCTCTAATGTTAAAATCAAGCAGGATTGGAAGCTGATGTTGGTGTTAGAAATGGGGCAGTGCGGTCAGACAGGACTAGTCTGGTTGCTAGTGAGGCACACAGGCTATGTCTATATTAGGTAAATGGATCTCATTTTGGGATTTTCCGTGTTGTTCAATGCTGTTATGTCTCCATTGGAGCATAAGGTTTGTTTCTTCTGTTTTGTTTTGTTTTCTTAGTATTTCTGTAATTTGCCAGTAGCGGTCCAGAGAACATGGGGTCTTAAGAGAATATCGCCTTTCCTGGGTAATAATGGAGATTCCTGTGTGTTAAGATGATAGTATGAGACACTGTGAAATGACTGGACAAAAACTGAATCATGTTAGGTATACTTTGGGTGTATTTGATTTCAGAGGCTGCATCCTAAAAGGACTCGGTCTGCCTGGGCAGTTTGTCAATTTACTNAGGACTCGGTCTGCCTGGGCAGTTTGTCAATTTACTAGAACGCGAGTACGGACTCGTGTTCTCGCCAAGTATGTTCATGAGAAGAACGCAGTAAAGTCTGGACTCTGGGAGAACGGGAGCACGCAGCATAAATATGGGTGAATTGGAAGAGAAGCGTAATGATGACATCACCACATGCTCAGCTCATCTTGAGCTGCATTTCACCTTCTGTTATCAATAGTCTCTAGATAATAATAAATTATAACTTTTTTCATTTATTGGGGGAATAATAATTAACAGAGTCAGATAAACACAAATCTAATTAACATTTTGGGAAATATAAAAAGAAATATAGCCATCATAACCAGCTGTTCTTCACACATGGCTATGCAGAGAGAGGGCTGCTGCAGACGGCTAGTCCTGGCTGCTGTTAGCCTCGGAGCTCCGCTGGCTGCCGCGGTCCTCTCAACTTCGGAAATCTTTTAAAATTACGCATTAAATCAGTAAATAGACCATATAGTGACGCTTAAAAGTATATTATTCTCTCATCAAATGATCTTGAAACGTACTTTTATTGAACAACAGCAACAGAAAAGAGAACTTTTAACTTCATACTCTGAGCTCTGTGAGCGCTCCATTGAAAGCTGCTGCTGCCGCAGTGCATGCTGGGACAGCTGTCAATCTCAAGAACGGACAAGTTTGCTCTGATGCATGCTGGGTAAAGAGGGAGGGGCGAGAACAACATCTGGGGACTTTGTCGGTTCTCGGTCTGCTGTTCTTGTGAATTAGATGAGTACTAGTGCTGAGGCTGATGACGTTTCACGAGGACATTAGAACGCACAGGTACATGTATTGAGAAACGGGCCTGGACTGGGTTCTCTGAGCTCCGTGAAAATAAGGAGGCCGGAAGAGTTTGGATCTGGATTCAAACAGTAGTAATGTCATAACATCATATTTATAGTCCCGACACTGCAGAGATATTGGAATCTGTGCTAATATATATCAGCCAAACCCATTTACAGATGGACAGATAAAACCCTTCAATAAACCAAAAATTACCCGCCACATATCTGACTCAGTAACATTTAAAACAACTTTTTCCATTAATTTTAGATTTAGAACTATTCACATACTTGTATTATAATAAACTACATTTACAATATCCACCACTGTTCGGCGCCATTTAACTTTTTCCTCTGAGCACCGAGCAGCCGGCTTGCTTGGACTCGCAATGAATCATGGGATACCCAAGGATACATAGGAAGCACAGGACCCGTCCTTCAAAATGGGCAAAAAGAAGGCTGCATATGTCATGATGAGGAGTCCTCCAATCAGAACAGGCCCCGGTGCCTCGCTATGACGTAACGAATCTAACGCACCACTAGATGGCAGTACATCTCACTATACAGATCACACTACTAGAGCAGTGTTTTTCAACCCTGGTCCTCAAGGCACACTGCCCTGCATGTTTTAGAGGTTTCCCAGCTTTCACACACCTGTTATCAATTGATAGCAGATTAACAGGCTTTGCTGAACTGCAATCATCTAAATCAGGAGTGCTGAAGCTCAGAAACATCCAAAACATGCAGAGCAGGGTGCCTTGAGGACCAGCAGTGTGTTAGGAGGAATCACATCTAGTGCTGCTGTGTTTGCATCTTATTGTAGAGAATGTTTTTGAGACTCACCTTATGAACAGATGGAGCAGCAATCCCTGCTTCTGAGAGTTTGCTTGAAAACGATCCGTACACCCCCTCGCACATGTAATACTGGAACTCTGGCTCTTCGTTGGGAGACGGCTCATCTGTTAAAAGATTCAACGGAGCCATATTTATCTTATTTACTTCATTCATCATAGGACTGCTGCAAAAAGCTGACTGGAAGCTTATTATTTCATTTAAAATCATAATTAATGAATCTTTCATCTTCGTCTTAACCTCTTAACATCTACCTCATTTTGGGTAATCCTTGCCTATTTTGCATACCCAAATGGAAAAGCAAATAACTTAGGAACTGTAAACCCAAATTACATGTGAAATACATTATTTGAAAGCTAACACCCTCTAGTTTTCCAATATATAAATTAAAATTGGGTGACTAGAACACAGACCAACCTGCATCAGTTCAAACATGACTCAAAGTTGTTGTTTTTTTTATTCTCAGAAATGATAGGTCTTTTTTGAACAGCGGCAATAAAGAAATTCTTAAGAAAAAGCAGATTTTATTGTATTATATGTGTTCTACATCATGTCATCCACAAATGCAGAAAATTTCAGACCTCTATAGCAATAACAGTTCCAGAGCTGTGGGCTTTGAACTTTTGGTGTAAGCTTGGAGCTGCACGCAATGGCGCCACCTGCTAGTACAAATTTTACCGGTGGAATTTTATGCATTCTGAGTTATTACCCCCACTTAAGGTCTTAAAACCCACTGGGTCGGTTTTAAGAGGTTAAAGCATCATTCAACATACTTTGTTTCTGGTCCTGGCAATCACGGGCGACCACCGCTTTGGAAATGATGCTCACAGCCAGGGTGAATGCAGTAGAAACAAAGAAGCTCCCAGGTTCTGCAATAATGGAAACTCCAGAGGAAGAAGGGAAGTATAGGTCCACCATAGACATGACGGCACAGTTGATCTAAAGGCAAGAATTAGAAACATGAATCAGGGCCGAACAATGTCCTAAAACAGCACCACAGAACAGCTGGATTGATACTGACCATTTCCAGCTGGGTCTCAGAGCCACTGAATCCACCTCCGATGTCCAAGAGGTTCATTCTGAATCCCATTTCCTCCTGCAACAGAAAAAGAAACAAAAAAAACATAAACTTATGTTCCACTTGTTTTAGGAGCCAAAGTAAAATCAAATCAGTTTTTTGAGGGTTGAATTTTGTATTGACTTCATCACTTACTCCCATGTCAAAGATGCAGCGGGCATCAGAGATTGCGTGAACATAAACCTGGTCGTCACACGCGCTGGAAATGTGACACCTAATAAGAGAAACAGGTCACTCAGTTTAACTGACAAATTATTATTATTTTTTTAATAACTGAAGAATTCCTCAGATTTGAACTGCTACCATTGAATGACTCCAGAGATGCTCTCGAACCTTGGCTTTTCAGGACTCACCTGACTCCCACAACTTGCACCCCCAGCTCCTTGGCACTCTCCAGGAGATGTCTGCAGTCTTTGAGGGAGCATCCAAATGTCATGCCTAGCTCATCATCTGGGTTCCAGGCCTCGGAAGAAACCTGGAGCAAAAGCCTGGATTAGACACAAGGGAAGGGGGAGTGACAGTGTATTAGATAACAAAAAAAATGAAATCCAGCCTCGTTAACCACAGATAAAACCAGCTAAATTATGTTTTCAAAAGAGACAAATATTTTGATGGTTTACATCGAGAAGCCCTGGGTTTTACTCCCGGTTCCTCTTTCTGTGTATTTATATTTTAAGCTGTGTTTCCATGTAAATGTTTTGTGTATTTCAAGCAAACTGTTGAAATGTGAGAAGAAAAAGACATCCATCCATTGGAACGACTTACCGAGGCAATGCAAAGGTTAATGCGGCTGTATGATGACATTAAACTTGCCTGTAATAAACAAGCAGGCTGGAGCCCAGTACTGGCTTCAAGTTATACGCCCGTCAATACTGTTTTTTTTTTAAAATCTAATCAGAAAATGATTCCCAGCTGTGAGTGGCTGAAGCTGCTGCATCACGACCCCTCCCCTCTGGTCACAACTACTCCTCTGCGATTGAGTATTTGATCAGCTTTAAGTCAAAGGTGAAAGGACACTTACTTTGAACACTACTTCCTGTTGCTTCTTTGTGCAAAATCTAATTTACATGTGCCAAAAATCCTAAATATCAATGCACACTTCAAGGGGATTGAGATCCTGAAGGGAGAGAAATTGTGGCATCTGTGCTTCCACCAACAATTAGGATTACCTATGATTAACCTCCAGCAGAACACTGAGCCTGGTTCTGCTGGAGGTTTCTTCCTGTTAAAAGGGAGTTTTTTCCTCTCCACTGTCGCTACAAGCATGCTTAGTGTGAGGGATAGCATTTGAGTCAATGAGTTGATGCTATCAACTGGTTTTCTTTAGATAGAAAACTTTGAATCAATTTGACTTTATGATCTGGTGAACTGTGAAATGCCTTGAGATGACATGTGTTGTAAACTAGCGCTATAGAAATAAACTGAATTGAAATATATATACAGGGATTACAGCAAAAACAAATCCTGAGCCTGAACTTTTTCGACACAGGTAAGAAACTCCAGAGATTGCATGAATAATTGAAGACTAAAATTGACTTTTGAAAGTCCAATACCAAAAACGGCCAGAAGATGGCAAAAGTGCATCTATATTTACCAGTTGCATGTATCACATTTCTTTTGATATCCAGTTTTGCTGCTAAGCGTTCCTGGAGCAAAGCTTGCAGAAGCAAGCGCCTGGTTCACCTAACTTCCATCTCGCCCTGTCTCCTCCAGCCATGCCCAGCACCATTTATTTTTGAGACTTTATCTATGGTCATGTCATCTTCCCAGTTCATGAACTGCATTGTGCTCACTCCATGCAATTCCATTCTTTCTATCGTCCTTCTCTCCAAACACAAATTTATTTTTTTACTTTTTACATGTTGAATAGAGCTGTAAGCGGCTTAAGGTGACTTTCCGTGCAGAACTTCAGCACTGAACCAAAATCTATCTGGCGACTTGATCAATAAACGAGAGGAGGAGGTAGACGCTTTCCTAAGACCCGCCCCCTTCTTCTTCTGATTGGCTAATACTGTTAGTTTCAGAGCGCTCCTTTGCTACCATTGGCTGACAAACGCAAGAGGGATTTCGATTCTCTTTTTTTAAATATATTTACCGTCAATTTAGTTTCCAGTGATTTTTTTTTTTTTACCCACAGGCAAGGCCCAGGGCCGGAATAACTTAATCCTTGTATATATAAATAAGATAAATAAGGGGATTAAGTGTTTTTTAACAAGACAAAAATGATCTCAAGCAAGCGCTAAAAGATTTACTCTAAAATTTAGTCAGTTTGGAATGAATCTGACCTGGATGACTGAGAATCTTCACCAGCAAAAAAAAGAAAAACAAAAACCTGATGGAAACACATCTCCAGTCAGTCCAGACTGGTAACCAGATAGTCACACCTAAAAAATATAAACCTTTTGCCGTCACACTTTAGCACTGACTGACAGTGCTGGCAAAAAACGTTGGTTGTTGATGCTGAGAGAAAAGGAACAACCGTAGCTGCCTGCAATGCCCAGAAGCACTGAGGGGTTTTAAAGGTTTGAACCTGTGACTGGTGTGGGACATGCTGAGCTGAGGAAATATTGGTATTTTGGAAATTTTGCACAAATGATACTGAAGAAAAAACATCATTAGGATTTACAAAAAAAAAAAAAAAAGTTTGGAAATCAGCCATAAATGGAAAACGGAGCACCACTGGTTCCTACAAATGCATAAAGTGTATCAGTGAGAAAAAAAAAAACCTACACCCACTTGCAGACATACTGTACTGACTTACTTGGCGTTAGGGTGGCAGCGGGAGATCTTCCATAGCTCTGCTTCATTATCACAGACGAGAAGATCAATGCCATTCTTAGCCGTGTATTTTAAATGGGAGACTTGTTTGCAAACGCCGCTGTAGATGATGTCTTCTGAGGGAATACCGTGGCTCTGCACAAGCTCAAGTTCAGACTAAAATAAAAATAAGAAAGAGCTGTATCCCATAAAGTATCACACACTAACAAGCAAGCTGATTTTTATGAACCATTCTGTGTTAAATTTAAGTAGCAGCACAATAACCCAGATGTTGTGAGATATACCTTATTGGAGCAGGTGAAGCCAGAGCCAAGGGCAGCGAGAACCTCAATCACAGCTGGACTGCTGTTGCATCTCACCGCATAGTACGGCCGGATCTGGGGCATGTGAGTTCGCCAGCGACGATGCTGCCTGAGAATCACTCCCAGATCAGCTACAAAGAAAGCGTTCTTCTCAGACTGGAAAAATTAAAAACAGAAACAAGAATGAAACTAAAACAACTCCAGCGCGTCATGATTTACTTTAAGCTCTAAAAAGATGCTCCTTCATGATGGAAAATGATCTAAGCTACATGAAAATAAACAGTGACAAAGTAAGAAAGCATTATCTGGTGAAGTGGAAAAGCCTTACCTGTGTTTGCTGTTCAATGTGATTATTAATGACATCGCAAAGGGCGGTGCCTCCATCCAGTAAGCTGACAGAATACTGCGGTTCATCTGTGATCCCTTTCATCCTCTTGATCGTGGTCTTCTAATCCGACAGGCATAAAGAATGTGGCTGCTCCAAAATGGTTCTCGCGGCTTCCCCGTCGAGCCCCTGGGGTCCTAGATTAATACAACAAACTATGCAGTAAAGAAAAAGACATAATCTACCATAAACACAAAGTTTTAAAACTGTTTCATTATTTTAAGATACAGCTCTGTTGGTTATTTAACTGAACAGCTTATGATGCTTAATGAATCTAAATTAATTAAGCATCATAAGCT